GTCATGCACTTTTGAAAATAATGATTTTGAGTTCTGTATTTTTTAATTAAGAAGTTCAAATCTATAAAAGTTTATCTCTCTATAATATATTAGATGGCATGTTAATTCAATCCCTATTAAAGTGCTCCAGAGATTTTCTTTTTGCAATCTTCTAATAAAAGTTGAATGAAATAGAAGAATTAAAAGCAAATGACGCAAGAAAAAAATATCAGAAAGGAGAAAGAAGTGGGGGAACTTTTTTTTGAAGACAATAAATGAAGAATGGTAATATTGGGCAGATCAATAAACCCAACCACTCCTCTGACTAACTTTTGTAGACAGACCCCTCTCTCATTTTGATTCCCTTTTCCATTTTTTTTTTCATTTTTTTTTCTGACTACTAACATTATTTCTATGTTGTTATCACATGATTTGATCGTCTCTTCCCTTTCAAGTTTCACCCCTTCTCATGTATTCTTTTCACGGTCACTGATTATCACCTTCCTTGTTTTTCCCCTTTGATTTGGTCAAACCGTCACACAATCTAAAACCAATTGAAAAATAATAATTCTTTTGAAGAATAAAAATCTGCAGTAGAATTAAGGAATATGATGTTTTGGAGTCTATGGATTACGTTTTTGCTTTAACAAGTAAAATACCATGGTAAAATGAGAAATCCATTGACATGTCTCAAAAAGTAAATCCAAATGTTTACGTTGAAATCTTGAAACTTGAAATATTTTTTACACTTTTGACCAAAACTGAGAAGAAATATATATGTATATACACAAATAAATAGCTGTGGGACCCATCCACCCAGAACCCATGTTTTTTTTGTCTTGTATAGCTTTGGTCTCTCTCTCCACTACTTACTCTCACGAGTCATTCTCTTCATAAAAACCTCTTCTCTACTTATCCCTCTCATCATTCTCTTCATCATCACCACATTCATCCCTCTCTCTCTCTCCCTCTCTTCTCCTTGATCTCAGCCGGATCTGGTGGGGGACGAATACAGAGAGAAATAAGAAATTTCTAAGAGAAAACCCTAATCGAAAAAGGTCTGTTTATGAAGAAGAAAAGGATTTAAAAGAGGGATTTCTCTTTTGAGGGGACTGTTGTCTGGCTCGAGGACTCTTATTCTAATTCAATCTCGTTTCATAAGGTCTGTCTGATCTGATGATTGATTAGGGTTTTAGCATCGTCGGACCAGGCTTCATTCCCCCCAATTATTACTCCCTCTCAATCCTAATTAACCAGAAAGTCTCTTCCTTTTCTTGTTTTCATCTTTAGGGTGTCCATCTCTGAATCCGTTCAATGTGAAAAAGTTTGATCTTTGAGTCAATTTAATTTCTTGGGTTTTCAAGATCTTGTTGTTTCAGTTGTGTTTTTTTTTTCTATTCATTCGTACAGATTGGTGTAATGATGAGGAAATCTGACTCATGTGAGAAGCTGAAAAGTCTATCATCATTACTAACTTTTTCTCAGTTTTTTTTTTTTTTTGGTTCTAGCTATGATTTTGTAATGATTTGATTTTAATTTTTGATTTATTTTATGATGATGTCATTTAGATTGTAGATCTATTCATGGTCATGATTAATGATGAGGGTGCTTCAGTTTCAGATCCGTCTGTTTATAAAAACCCAAACCAGATCTACTAGATCTGAATCTTTCAAATTACTACTACTATTTATGCCTCTTGTTAGTACACAACTACTAGCCTAGGGTTTCGTCATTCCAACCATAATTACTTTTTTAAAAGAAGTATATATATACTCCAACATAATTCGTCCTTTTTTCTTTGGGTGATTGTTATTTTTTGTTCACACTCTAACATTACTTTGCCTTCTGCAGTTACTTCAAGAATGGAAGATCAAGAAACTCGATCGGATTTTTTCTATCGTGGTTCTTTGTTTTTGTGTGTGTTAATGTTATAATCATTTTTTACTATAGGTACTGTAAATGCTATATATCTTTTCTATCTATAAGTTGAATCAACTGTTATTTTTCAGTCCTCACTTCTCACTATATAGCTGATCTTGATAACATAATCTAATATTCGGAAACTTCACCCTATTAGTTAATTTTGTTGATTTTATTGATTTTAAAGACAGTATATTAGTTAAGTGATATATTAACGTGTATGTTAAAATCGTATGATAATGAATCGAAGGTAATAATACAATGAGGTGTGGACCAAAATTTATGTTAAGAAATGACAAAATTTACTGTTTGGTTGCACGTTTGGTTTAATGTACGTAGTGTGAAAGTGAAACACTCTTGGGTTTCAAAACCTCTGTGAAAAGTTAAAATTACAAAGTGGAAGGATACAAAGTGTGGAACGAAGGAATGTTTTTTTTTTTGGACATTCACTGGATCAGAACTGAAAAAAAAGTGAGATTATTAATTAAAAGGATGAATGTTAAAAGTTAGCACGAATATAATAATGCGAAAGAAAACGTGTAAGAGTTTAAGTAAAAAAAGAAAATTTGCTTTTTGTTTTCCAAAAGTTATCTTTTCCATAGTGATTACACAAATTACCATGGCTTTTACATTTTGTCTTTTTTGACTATGAATTCTTTATTAACAAAGACTTTGACCTCGTTTTTTCCTAACTACGGTTTCAGTGTCTGTCTTTCTAGCCAAGTCTAGGATTTGATGTCACCTTTAAATCTTTGTTCCGTTGTGTATATTACATTTATGTCACCTTTATATCTCCCAAATACACTTTCGAGTACTAAATAACTGACGCAAATTATGCAACTTTTTTGAATAATTTTTGAAAACTAAATCCTCAATATACACATAATTTCCTCAATATACATACAATGCTTTCTGGTTATATTTGGTATTGGTATATATTTAATATTCAACTAAAATCAATTCATTCAAATAAATATATACTGTACATGTAGAACACAAATAGTTATACAATGCTTATCAAAATTATTCTCAGTCTTATATACAAAGTTCTTAGTTAAAAATGTGAAGGTTAAGAAATACATTAATTCTATTTTTTGGGTTTTTACATTAGAACTATAATTTAATAAAATAAAAGAAAGAAAAACTTGTAGACATTTATATAATGGACAGAGAGTAAGAATCGTAATATTGCATAGTTTTTTTCTAAAATCAAATAAAAGAAAAGAAACATTAACTTTTAAAACATCCTATGAAAAGAAGATGCAATAGTATTTTTTTTCATTTTAAAGACAAATTAACGATTGATATTTTTGTGGACTTGTTTCGGCCCATTGAGTGGGCGGCCTAAATAGTTTAAGGTTGATGATAACAAAAATATGTTTTGCCCTCTCCACATCGTCCAAATCGTTGTCTTAATTATTTTGCATTTTTTTCTGTGTTAGTCACAGACTCGCAGATATTGCGTGTTTTCTAAATTCTCTCATACACAAATTGTCAAATTCACAAAGATGCTTCAGTGAATAGAAAATATTTTCTGCATTGACCGCTAATTTTTATACTTGATGACATTTTGTCATTATCTGAAATCGCTGGATTAGTTCGAGTATTTTGTTGTTGTTAGTATTTAAATTAATTGAACGATAATCTGATCTACTTCCATCGCTCTAGACGACTCCAACATCATCATCCACTTGGAGCAGTCAGACAACATTCTACTTCTCTTCCGATAATTGACATTTTTTAGTTTCTCTTTTCTAATTATGGTATCTGCTTCAATTTTGTTTTGTTTTATCAGCGAGTAAGTTTTTTTTTGTTTTTTATAAAAGAGAGAATTCTGATTAAAGCTGAAAGTAACGTTTGATTATACAAAAGTGAACGCCTACACGGTCCGTGAACCATATAAATGAAATAAATTTGAACTGGAAACTTTGGCACATTTACTTGAAAATTCTGTCCACAATACTTTATTTGTCAGGTGACAAAAAAAAAAAACTTTATTTGTCAGATTTTTTGGTCAACTTCATCACTTGATTTCTTGCAAAATATTTAGGCTGAAAGCTTTAAAAATTATGTTTTGAATTTTTAAACGAAACTGAATTGGGGTTGTAGCACAAATTAAATTGATATGATTATGAAAGGTTAACTCTTTTATTTTTTTGGCAGATTTTCTAGACCTTTCATTAAATAAGAAATATAAAATTTGATTGAATGATTATTCATCTCGATCTCGTCCGAATATGTCGATGACTAATGACTTATATTATTAAAAGAAATCCATACGTGGGCATGTCCTGAACTTGTTTCTTCTCGTCCATTGCATCCTACCCAACTTTTGATTCTAAGCTTTTGTCTCTTTCGAAACTTTGGGTAATATATGGCATATACCATTATATATACTGATAAATATATACTTCCCCCTATAGTATTTGATCCATCGGTTATGTATATTTGTGGTTAATTTGATTTGTGTTATTGTTGTATGTAAGAATTATGAATCTGCCACTGCACATATCTTCTTAATATGAATAGAGTTGATGAAGTTGTAAGTAAGTGGTAGAGGTGATTATTTCCAGTGCCAGATTTACTTCGTTATCATTTTGTATATATTTGTCTCACTTCTTTAACTAAAAACAAATGCAAGTGGTCGGTCCACTTGCGATCCCTGACCTATAAAGATGTATATATTCTTTTTTTTTGGTCAAGAAAGATGTATATATTCATTCTGCACATTTACGTTATAAATATTGTTAGTTTTCCCCTCGCAATCATCTCCAAATACACAAATGCCAGATGTAAAAAAAAGGTAATCATACGTAGTTGCGAATTTAGGTAAAAATTTGCAATTCTAAAATGCAACCAATGTATTTTTAATTTTAAAATGCAACCATTCTAAAATACAACCAATTAAAAACAGAAAAACGAAGCTTCACGTTTAATTTGCGTTTTAATTTTTTTTTATTCATTCCGTTTATATTAAATGTCTTTTTGAAGCTATTATACAAATTAGAGATATTAAAAGATCTAATATGTCTTCTTTTTTTTCAGACAAAATTTCATACAAGTATATTTTTCAACAAAATTTTATATTTTCTTGTCAACTAATATTAACAATATAAAAGTAACCTGAAATTCTCTCTAAAGATTTTGTGGATAAAAAATACGGAACTTTCAAGGTATATTTCTAACATATACTTACGATTTCCGTTTACAAAAAAAAATATCTCACTTTTGAGCCTTTTTATCTCACTCAGCAACGTTCATTAAATCCATTTTTATTGTTATCTCCGGAACAAACAAAAAAATGGGCAACTTCATTAAGTCTCATAAACTCTCTCCCCTTCCACTAGAAGACCCTTGGCCTTTCTCCTCTGTTTTCTAAACTAATTTATCTCCGAAAAAAAAAAATTCTGATCTTTCTTCATCGTTTTCTAAGCTATGGGTTCTGGAGAAAAAAACATTAAGAGCTTCCATTCAAATCGTTCTAAGAACAATAGCAAACAAGGGATGAAAGATGTCCCAAAAGGTTGTTTAGCAATCAAAGTGGGATCAGAAGAAGAAGAGAAGCAAAGATTTGTTATTCCTGTTTTTTATTTTAACCATCCATTGTTCATGCAGCTCTTAAAGGAAGCAGAGGAAGAGTATGGATTCGAGCAGAAAGGTACCATCACAATCCCTTGCCACGTAGAGGTTTTCCAGTATGTTCAAGACATGATCCATAGAGAGAGGTCGGTTACTTATCAGAGTAATCATCATCATAATCATAGTCACAGCCATAATCATCTTGTTGGATGTTTTAGAGCTTGATGAATGATGATGGTATATGAGCATGATCATGATTCATGACGATATGCAAGCAAAGCAATAGGAGTACAAAAGATTGTCTTTGTTTTTAAGTTTTACCTTTCAGCTTTAATTTCTTTTTAAGTTTCCTTTTGCTTTCATGGGTTTGATGTTGTGGAGTTGTGGAGCCAAACACGGCCTAACCCACAAGATTAGGAGTAGAAGCGGTGTTTGGAAATAAGAATATTAAAAAAAAAGTGTCAAGTTAATTGTTCGATTTAGAAATTTCCAGTGCTATATGTTTATGATTTTATCTGATTGATGATGACGATGGTGAAGATGATTATAGCTAGCGATGACGAACAAGTTTTGGCAATTTGCGTTTGATATTTTGTTAGGAGACGTATAAGTTTGAAAAGTGGAAAATGGATAATCTCAAATAAAGTAGATTAATTCTATTTATCAGCAAAAAACAAAGATTCTCAGTTAATTTGAAATTTACAACGACCCTTTTCGGCAAAGATAATGCTGCTTTATCCTTCTGTTGTAACGGCCGGTTTCTATACGTCGCATTAAATTTTATTGACCGGAAAAACAAATCTATTTGTCCGTAGAGAGTTGCGGATATAATTAAAATTAGTCTGGTTTATTTTAAAAAAATTAGTATACTACTGCGATACTCAATCTATTCAAACAATGTATTTAAAAGAAAAACACATAAACATGTCAAAAACAATGTAATATATATTATTATAAAACTTCAGTTAATTTTCCGATAGATAAATGAAATCAGATGGATACGAATTTACAAAAAAAAAAAAAAAAAAAAAAAAAGAGAGAGAGTAAAGGACGTCTACTTCCAAAGCAAAATGAAATGGTGCAAGTCAGCAAAAAAGTGTAGTGGGTGGCTCTGTGTTGCTCCGAGTCTTTTACTCTCGTGCGTTAATTCCAAAGATTATAGTAATACTTCTTTCAAATGTTAACACTAAGTAACCAACCACTAGACCCGAAAAAAGGAAAAACGAAAGAAAGACCAATAAGGTGTTATGGTTTATTCACTTTCTTTATTGACTAGGAGTCTAATAATGATCGAATTATCACAGATAAAGAATGCTTATGAATATCGAAACTCACACTAAATTTACGAATTCCGTATAATTCCGAATTTTTTTTAGCTATCCATGATTGAAATCGCACCATAAAAAAATAAGAAACTTGGTCTAGACTAACCGAACGAATCCTAACACACACTGAACCACAATAAAATAAGTTTTAAAATAAATGTTGATTTATTAGTAGAAAATACTACTATATGGATATTTGCAAATAGTTTTTTTTTCTACCCCAAGAACTATAATTTAGTATTTTCATAGTCCTACTTTCAAAAAATAAAGATCATAAATAAAATACACTATTACAGTATGTCATCTATCAGTTAGCCCAATCTTAGAAATTTCTGTGATAAAGAAAATACTATGGTGGTTGAATATATCAACGTAACAAAGAAGTTAACTTATACAATGTTCACTTTTCAGGAAACAGTTGTTAGAACTTTGAAGATTCCCCCAAATTTCCGTAAGAAAAGGAGTAGGAATACGAATCCACTCAAACTCAGCGATCCATTAGTCATGACATATAATCAGTGGCCAGGATTAAGTTGTCGGTCGAGTGTGTCGCCATTAGTGGAAAGCCTTTATTTATATTTTTCATTATGGTTATTGCAATAATTAACATACCTTTTAAAAAAATAATACGTTTTATATAAATTATGGGATGTGTGAGAACTTTTGAAGATCATCAAATTTTTGGTTTTACATATTGTGTTTGTAATGTATATTTTCTTTTCACAGTTATCATCCACATCCGATCATATTAACTAGAATTATTGAAATCAAACACCAATAAGAAGGTCCTATCGTGACACGAAACTAATAAGGCATTTGAGTGGGCCGACAGTATCCATTAATTTGTCAGTATTGTTGATCTTTAAACAATATGGGCCTGGTTTAATACATCTGGCCTAGCAGAAGTGCCCAGTCAAAGCTCAAAGACTTCACCTACAAAATTGATACTCGTATATTTATATAACATGATCAATAATCACTGACAACTCGAATCTGATTCCATAAAGCTAAAGTGGAATATGAGGGGAAAAATGAAAGGTAATTGAGCCATTTACTAATATCATCACAAGATGAAACCAAAAAAGTGAACATAAGAGTCCTCTATTTTTCTTCAAAAGTAAGTTTCCGTAACTCAAAAAAGATTATTCAACCAAAAGAAAAAAATAATACGATTAAATGTTAAGTAGAAAATACTGAGAGTGATTACTGATAGGTAAGTTAATTAGCTTTGATTAGGCACTTGGTGCATCTTAATCTAAGTTTGTTGGGGATGATTCTTAATCTAAGTTTGTTGGGGGTGGCTAAGTGGGTAATTAATCAATTTCTTATGATGGAAGAAGCAATCAACTCTGTATCAAACTAAGCATTTAACCAACAAAATCTCTTAATTTGCATAGAAGAAATATATTCCCTATAACAAAAAAAAATTAAGTGGAAATAGAGTAAAATGAGGAATATTGAAAAAAATAAAAATAAAGAGAAATGTTGAACAGACAAGAACTCGATGAAAAATCTTTATTTCAAAGTTAATTTTGCCGATGAGTGAATTTTCCATATCGGAGTCATCTTTTGTCTCTCTTGAAATGGTAAATTCACTTTTGTCCACAAACTTTTTTTACAGATGTAACTAGAAAGCATCCGGCAAACCATGTGCCATATTGATATTCTACAATCGAAAGTGTAAAGGAGAATGGTAATTATCCAAAATTAAAATTATTAAGCCAAACATACCATTCCTCTTCTATAATAAGGTAAAAAAAAAACATGAAATAAAAATGTACGCCACACATAGAGGACTTTCTTTTTCCTGTAATGATTTCACATAACCACTGTAATTATTACAAATCTGACATTTATATATATATATATGGTATGATGTTTATATCCACTGACGACTACACAGTGACGATTATATCTTTCTACACAATGTTTATTTTTGACATTTTGTAATCAGTAATCACTTCCTCTCTTCCACTGTCGCTATCCACTACTGTTCGACACGTGACACAATGAGTTGGACGATGACGCCATCGTTCTCCCGAAGTTTGTATCGTTCCATATATCCATCTCCGGTATATAATAATCCGGTGTTAACCCGGTACTGTAATAACCGGACCGATTTAGTCCATCGAATGGTGATTGTGGGATCTCATTGACGGCTGGGTTTGAATATGAGTTGGGCCCATTTAGCTGCGAGGCAACAAGCTGATCCAAAGCAGCCCAACTAGTGACGTGGCAGTTGTTGACTTGGCCGTCCATCAACCGCTGGTAACTCGCGACGGTGTTGTTGTTCGGGCACTCGAGGTTAGGGAGTTCCGAGAAAGGATCTAAAACTGTCTCTTCTTTACAAGATTGCCCCATAACTTCAAGAAGTTGCTCGATAGTCTCCTCGTTGAACGACGACGTTTTCACCGATCTCGCAGGGCTGCTGATTACGGTTTTGCAAAGACTCTTTTTCATGAAGACACGACACACTACCCATCCTTCGTCTCCTCCTATGACATCACACATTTCTACAGCGACGTCATCGTCATGATTCGGGAAGGAGATTAATACATTCTCGTCGAGTCTATATTCGTGCATGATCCAGTCGGATTTTTGACCATGAGGGGCTCGACCTTTGTAAAAGACGAGCGTTTTTCGCATACCGATCCTATCTCCATTGCTATATATGATCTTGTCACGTCCCGTGGCTTTCCAAAATCCGACCGTAGTGGCTCGGTTGGTTCTTGTTCCTGTGGGATACTTCTTGTCCTTATGGCTAAAAAAGTACCAATCGTTTTGCGGCGTTGTTCCAATCTTACACATCTCTACGTAGTAGAACAAGAGTTAGGTTTTAACAAATGAATTGTAATGGATGAAATTAAGAGGTGTAATTTTATTTCTTCTGCCAAATAGTTTTTTTTTCTTAACAATCAACCAATTAAATATTACATGAAATCGATCGCTAGTATTCCGTTAATTAAGTTGAAAAAGGGTTTAAATATATATACATATGCAATTTCTCTGAAATGAAATCACCAGTACTTGAAGCTTTAATTAGTTTATGGGTTAACGCGAATGGATGAATTAATTTAGTATAAGCCCTAATAATACAATCTGTCAATAATCTAAAAAAAGTCTATCCAGAATTAATTAGAATAAATAAGATAACTAAAGTTAAAATGATGAACCTTGAATATCCCAAGGCTCGAGCTTGTTGAGATCAACATCACGAATAACATCGAGATCGATCTTAATGTTAGAGATTTTCTTCCTGAGGTAATACTGCAAGAGCTCTTCCTCGGTCGGGTGAAACCTAAAGCCAGGAGGCACTTGTGACTGTCCGTTTACTGATATGTTCATTATTAAAGGCAGAAGAAGAATTAAGAAGAAGGAAGAGAAGAAGAAGATGGAACGAGTTTATAACTAACCAAAGCGTGTGTATATATATATGTGTGTATTTTTGACATAAAGTGGCAAAAAAAAACCATGCATGAGGAAAATGCATGTGTCCCTTTTGCTCTCATTTTTTATTATATTTCAAATAAGTTTCCCTATTAAATCGGAGTATTAGTTGTCTTTTCTAAATATTTATTGTTTTTATGAATGTCATAATTCGTTCGCATGTGCCACCACTTACAAATAAAAACATGAGCTAATAAATTATTTTAATAATATAAAATGTCTGCTATGAGTTATTGCTTAGAAAATTACCACCTATGAGCTAACTGTGGATCGATCCTTCTGTAACAGAGCGATTTCGCTCAGGCAAGAGAACACAGAAATCTCTCGAATAAGCTTATTTAGGTTTGGTTCAAGACAACATAAACTCTATTGAAGAAGCTTTTTCAGCTTTCACGGGCCCTTCCCTCCAACCCCAATCGCTTAATCACAATATTTATTTATGTTAGTTTTATAATTTGTGTTTACCAGACTGCCATTATTTGTAAACTCAAAACTGTATTAATGGTTTTAAGTTACAACTCGTTGAGACGAGTTTACATTGTGTCACAACGCTTTCTATTCTTTTATTTGATTATAAAGCACAAAAGTTTTTTTTTTACTTTTTAAAAATAGTGGTCTCTTACTCTCTTCATTAAAAGATAAAAATATGGTCCTTTTATTTATTTGCTCTCCTTTTGGGGTATGTAATGGTCCTTTACCGATTGTTTATATCTCAATTTGTAATTACTGCCGAAGAAATAAATAGTAAAAGGGAGAGATGGGTGGGACCAGGTCACGTAGCTGTTGGGTAAAAGTGGGGTCGCCGTGGGATCCACATTTCAACTGTAATGTAGGAAGCAAGCCCACATCGCTACGATGACCCTCGACCTTAAAAATCTCTATGGACAAGACATTATCCATTTTTTTTTTTTTTTTATATAAATCAATAGGTAACTTTATATATAAAATCGAATGAAGGGCGAATGGAAAAAACGAAAGAATGTTCTGTGAGCAAGAGATTATTTTTATGTGTTATCATATTATTATGTGTTTTTTTAGGGTTAAAATATCTTGTTATAAGTTAATTATGAGACTAAAGCTCGTAGCTCTATCGATGTGGATCAAATGATTTCAGAGGTCATCATAGAAGGTGATGCGAAGATAATGATAGATTTGGCGAATGATGTGAAATATAATTCTAATACCGTGACAATAACACATTTAGAGACCTAAGACAATCTTAAGGTTTATTTATTTATTTATATGTATATTTTTCAAAAAAGAATCATGATTTTTTTTTTGGTTTTAAAAGAATCATGATTTAAAAGTAGAAACTACCATTTCAAAATTTTGAACTCATAAACATAAATATTTATAGAAAACCCTAGCTATCAACAAATCTTTAGGCCTTGACCAACTCAGCTACCATTGTGACAAAAAATGTGGTCTAAAAATTAACAGTACAAATGTGGTCTAAATTGTCTTTTTACCCTTAGAACAGTCACAATGGAGGATTTTGAGAGAGTTCTTAATTAAAAAAGAAAAGAAAAAAAAGAAAATGAAAATGAGGTGGCAAGCTTTTTCTGTAAATCGATTCTCTGCACAGAGTTGCAGGAGACGACTCTTTAGAGCATGTCCATCAATAAAACATGTAAAAGCCGTATCTAAAAAAATTATATTAATATTTTAATAAAATTTAAAGACAGATAAGTTTCAAATTTTTTAAACCACTTGTATGTATACATGTGTCACCAATGTGCCTTAAAATCTCTTAAAAACGTATCTGAAATTGTTTAAACAAGATACAGTTGTTTTTCTCTCTCCAGCTTTTTCTTTTTTTAATAATTTTTTCTTACTTAGATACTGGATAATGGAGGTGGCCTTACATTTTTCTGACACATGTCATCACATAATTAGTCTACTTTATTTATTTATTTATTCTTTTTTCGAAAATCATTTTTTTAAAAAAAAATTAGTAATAAAATATTTAAAGGAGTCTCATGTGAGACTCTCCATTGTGGTTGCCCTTAGGGGATGCAAGCCTCTGTTCACAAGTTCACAACCTCCTCTTAAAAAATAATTAGAAGATTAAAGAGATCAAGATCTGTTCTAAGCCGCGTTCATGGAATATGTGTGCAGGTGACATTGCAATAAGGGGTCTGTGATTCGTATCTCAAGCATGTGGTTCACTCGGAGTACTCGTATATCGTGTCCAGTAGTATTCAATAGAAGAGAGTGGATTCACCTTAATTTTGTTTGCACCTATCGTGCGTATTTATTTTAATTTGAATGACGACGTTGGAAACAGTTGCGTACAACTGTCTGCAAAGTAATTACGTACGTATGTTGTAGATTTTGTGAGGAATGGGGACCAATTTACAAACGGTTATTCTCTGGAGTTCTTTTTACATGGGTTTGATAGTTTATATAATAATTTATTGTTGGTTAAATTATTATTCTACTTAATTTGATCCTTATTAAAAAAAATTTTGTTTTTGTTTATTATACTCCTTATTAGCTATTACACATACATCATCAGGAGGCAAATATCAGTGAGTAATTAAGTTCGTTCTCAATGGAACACGAGAAGGCAAATAAAATAAACACGGTACTCGTAATATGTATATATACTGTTCGTTCTAAAAAAAAATTGTATTATTTTAAGCAAACATGAACGTAAAAAAAATAAGTTATGAATTTCTCATTACTGCACATAGTATATATAAATTAAACAATCTTAACAATTTTACAACAAATGAGATGGATGGTTCAAGTGATGACCTATGTAGAATAACATTTATACGGGCGATCTATCCTCTTGATTTTTACGTTAGCAATACATTTGTTTATCAAATTCAGACATTAACATATCGCATAATTTTGGTCAAAATATTGGTATAATCTATGTCTTCTTGTAACATACATGATGGTTTAACCGTGAAGGTGGATTAAAAATGAATAGACCGATCATATTTTTTTTTTTTTTTGTCAACAAACCGATCATAATTAGTGACCAGAAAACAAACTAAATATTTTCTAGAAGATGAAGAAAGTTTGCATGGGAAGCAATCTTAATTATATTTGATGTATTATCGTCATTTTTTGTTTGTCAACATCGTCAACATTTATCAAACCTTAATGGTGAGACGTCATATGACTATGGTAAAAACGTAGTTTAGATTAAGTTAGATCCTTTTTTAGAAAAGTTCACATCTTATCAGTCTGTGATATATGATTACATATTCAAGAAGAAATAAAAAAAAATTGTTTACCAAAAGAGGAAAAATTATGTATAATCATATTCAATAGTTAAAACTCTATATTAAACATACTGTTTGAATCTGTAACACTATATTTATTCTGGAGTTTCTATTTAGTTTACAAAGGTGACATTGCAAAGAAAAAAAAAACAGTTTTCAGTTTTCATCAATGTGCATATATCTATCATCAAGGTTTCGCAATCCGGTGCATACATGTATGTATAATAAGAATACTTATGTTTGAAGATATATGATCCTTGAATGATGTAACAGACCAAAGTTATTTGTAATTTAATTTGTTTAGTAACTTTGGTACATGTCTATCTCAATAATAAAGGCATGCTTGGTATTATATAATATATATAAGAGTGAATAAATACAAAACTCTATGTCATAAGTGAGTTTTATAAACTAATGACGACGACTCCTTAAGGAATGCTACTAATGAAACCTCAAAAGGACTTAGGAACTTCCAAAAGAGTGTAGAAAATTAAAGAGTACGTAGGGCTAAAGAAAATCAAAGGAACTCGTGATATGTAATTAATAAACGTACGATCATCTGTCATTTTATAATGCTTCTAAATTTTCCGTTATATATAAAGGACATACCGCTCCCTAATGTTATTGGCACGTGTTCCTTGAAACACCTTATTTACGTTGTAACTCACTAGAAATGTTCTAAAAGTTTTTTTGTTGTTGTTGATAACGATCCTCTCATTTATGTTTGTTTTATATACTTCTGAGTAAATCCAAATTTATCATAGGCATGCGAGTATGCGACAGCCTTAAGCTTTGTAAGAATCTTTGATAAGTGGTAGGAACTACAAGTCTACAAGTGAAAGCCAATGTTTAGAGATTCTGACTTCAGAGACCATGTTTTGTGTGAACTATAACTCCTCGTCTTGTTTATATATAGAATTACACCACTGAACGTGTACAATTTGAATTTGGTCGGATCTAGATGTTATTTGCAAAAATGAATAATTATGATAAAATGTTTAGTTTGGAATGAACATTCTTCAAACAGATCTTGAAGTCTCCTTTACCACTGATAGTGCGTAAAAAGTCGGTGAATGTTAAGAAGTCTAGCTTCTATATTAACTACTATATTGTTTTTGAAAGTATGTTCAATTTCGATTCTTGTAGGTTGAACAATCTTCTAACTTTTTATATTGATTTAAGATTTTTTTATATATAAATTAATCTCGTAACGAACAAAATAAATTAACAATGGCAATATATATATGAATGTGACTTTCCTATGTGCTCGTTTGTTTTGGTCGTTTTTTATTTATAGATATTAGTTTGTTAAGATATCGACGTTACCCAAGTGACCAATTAAGGTCTTATCGAACTTCGAAACAATTTGCATTTTTCTTCAATGATGTTTTATACTAGCTATTAGATACGAAGGTGATACAGACAACCAAAATTTATAGAAAGATAAATACACCATGCACATTTAAAATACAGCATCAATTCAATTTGGGATTAAAAAGTCTCCCAAATAAATAGAACTATATATCCAAAGCCGAATGAAAACCAGGAAGAGCTCTGAGTCTTATAGCTAACAATTTGCGACTTTATCAAAGTAGTTGGCCTCAACAAAATTAAATTACATCGATGATTTAGTCAAAATGTCTGTACATTTTACCAAGTCTTTTTCTAAGGCTACAGCGTTTCAGTATTTGCCCGGCCCTAT